CCCCAAAACCCCAAAACCCCTTTCAGTGGAATTATTAGCTAAATTTATATAAATTAGATCTAATATTTTTAAAAATAACTCTATTTATTGTATTAGTTGAGATGTTAAAAAGAAATATTAAAACTTCTCAATCTTATATAACAATGATCAGAATAGCATTTTTCTATTATTTTTTAATTTCAACGCTATCATTCTTAATTGTTCAATTTCAGGATCTAACTTTTTCCTTTTGAAAGTCTAAGCAGATTCAATGGAATCTAAGTTCTGACTTTAATTTACACCATGAAGATAATTGCATTTTTTCTTTTGTATTCTATACAATTTAATTTCCCTACCATCATTCAATTGTAAACTTGAGTTTTTATTAATGGAGTCATCATTAGATTTTTATTTTTAATCTGACAATTTCTTTAAGTTATAATTATCTCTTGAAGAGACTTAATCTATTTAGTCCTACTATTTAATAAAAACTACTTTCCTATGATCGCTTTTACAGTTCTTTTTAATATCTTCATATAAATCTTTCATCCGTCTTGAATCAGGTACTTGCTAATTATTTTATATTTGACTTTACTTTTTTTTTTCTTACTCTTAGTGCTGAGGGGTAACTCTCAATACTTACGAAATTTTGCTTATTAAATTTTTATCTTAATTAGATTAAAGTTCAATATCAAATTGGCGACTATGATGATGATGATAATAATCATTACTCTCTTATTAATCTATTTTTATAAATTTTTCTTCCTCCTACTCTTCATAATCATTAAATCTATTACCACTATTTTTAATCTAAGATTAATAAGGAAATTGTTAAATTTGATGACTTTTAATATTCTAAGTTTATAGTATTGGAGAATTTTAATCATTTTCAAAAGACCACTGCTCAATTTAATCAGCATTTCCCTTAATAATATCTTCGTATTTATTTTAATCATCTGATTATTATTCCTCCTATTAACCATTTTAAATCTAGTCATCTTAGCCATAATCATAGTAATCATTATAATATTCTCCATAGTAATTTTCATCGTTATACTCTTCATTTGCATTCAAAATTTCGCCCTAAATCTAATCATTATCATTACACTTATTATTATATGATTAATTATCATTGACTAGTTCATTCTAATTCTCAAAGTAATAGTCCTCTGGATAATAATCCCCATAATCGTTTTCTTCCTCTTCTTATTAATTATTAGATATATCTTCAAATAAAATGTCCTTATTTAAAATCAAGTCCATATCTTCAAAATTTTCAGAAATCATTTATTCAATCTATATTAGGTAAATAGTTATGAATCTATATTACATTTAGTCCTTCAGGATTCAGATCTTTCAAATACCTAGGTTTCTTAAGATTCATGCTGAACATCTAATTTTCACTTACTTTTTCTTTGAATGAATCTAATTTGATATTGGTTAAGACAGCTGACTAGTCTATTGAAGTTAAATCAATACCAATTTATTCAATTATCTATTCCTTATTATTTAAACCAATTTATAGCTAGAACAAATCTTATTATTGAATATCATCCTATGATTTACACTAGTGTTATCGTAGTTAAACTGAACCTTTGAAATCCTTCTGACACTAATTACACCTAAAAGTGCAAGTCTTGATAATGTGACTTAAAATATAATTAGCTTTCGTGAAATACTATGGTGCTCCGTTGAATTTATTCTATGTGCATCTGACTAAACAATTACTATTCTCATCCCACTATCTCGATAAGATAAATTTGAGAAGGCATTGATAGCAGGATGTAATTTTGCAAACACTGCAAGCCCAGGGGTCAATAAAGACCTAAGAGCAAATCCTACAAACTAAATGATCATTGAAGAAATTGTCCTCATTTGAAAATACAAGCTTCGAGACTTCTTCAAGTTCATATAATGCATCATCAAAATTTTGTTACCCAATTTACATTGCAACATTTTTTTAATCCATAATTTAGTTTTTTCTTTAAAATTAATTAATTATATCACTTTTCAATAAGAATTCATTATACTTGGGGTTTTGGGGTTTTGGGGTTTTGGGG